GCAACGGATGATGACTCAAGTACTTGGGCCCCTGCCATCTACATGGGAGACCTAGACGGAGTTCTGGGCTCTTAGCTTTGGCCTGGTCCAGCCCCACACTTTATGGAAACATTTGGGGAGTGAACCAGTGGGTGGAAAATCTCTCCCTCTCTCTGTGTCTGTCATTCTGCTTTTCAAATAAATAAAATAAATCTTAAAAAAAATCCATGTAGAAATACATTCCTTTACATGACAGCAAAGTGAGTTATTGACTTAATATGCTTTGTTGCTTGGTTTCTTTAGAAAACCTTTTCTTTCCTAACTTATAACCATTTGAAGGATTTAGAATGTTTGAGGCAGCAGGAAGTGGGAGTGGGGTAGTAGATCATTGACTGCAAAGGGAGTAACAGGCCAGAGGCTTGAGAGTTGGGGGCCATTTTATGGGGGGACAGTTAACCCTGAAGCACTGCACAATACTCAGAAAGAATGGGATAACCCTATCCTAGAGGGACAGCTGGGCCACTGAGGCCACCTCGCCCCTAAGGGCGCTGCAGAAAACGGTATACACAACAACCTCTAGGCAGAATAATAAATAAACAGTACTTTCATTTTATAAAATAAGCATTTAAAAACACTGTATTTCTGGGGCCGGCGCTGTGGTGCAGCAAATTAACGCCCTGGCCTGAAGCGCCGGCATCCCATATGGGCGCCGGTTCGAGACTCAGCTGCTCCACTTCAAATCCAGCTCTCTGCTATGGCCTGGGAAAGCAGTAGAAGATGGCCCAAGTCCTTGGGCCTCTGCTCCCATGTGGGAGACCTGGAAGAAGCTCCTGGCTCCTGGCTTCAGATCAGTGCAGCTCTGGCCATTGCAGCCAACTGGGTAGTGAACCATTGGATGGAAGACCTCTCTCTCTCTCTCTCTGACTCTCTGTCTGTGTAACTCTGACTTTCAAATAAATAAATAAATCTTTAAAACAAAATAGAAAGCAAAAATTGTGTATACTTAAAAAAAAACCACTGTATTTCCAATGAGATGGTTAAAAACATAAACACATTGGTACATAAATGGTTTCAGCTTTTACATCAAAATGTCATTCTTTGAAAATGTGAGATGAGAGTTACTAATTCTGAGTGGACATTTGGCTTAGCGGCTAGGATGCCAGTTCAGGCTCCCACACTGGAGCGCTTGGATTTGGTTCTCTGGCTCTGGCTGCTGATGCAAGCCTCCTGGGAGGCAGTGGGACGCTTCACGTGTGGGTTCTGAGAGACCTGTGCTGAGTGCCCAGTGAGTGATTTCTGCTTCAGCTGTCGCTGGCATTTGGGGAGTAAAATAGTGGATGGGAGTGTTTCTCTTTCTCTCTCTCTCTGTTTCTTCCTCTGTCTGCCACTCAAATAAATAAATATTTAAAAAGTTAGTGACTTGCTCCATGAAAGCGTTGATTACGTGGGCCCTTAGCCATGTTGCTGACATGTGGAGCTGTGCAAATGATGGATGAGTTGTAAATGAAAGGCAGTCATTATTTAATTCAGCCCAAGTGGATACTCTGAGAATTAATATCTTAATACCCTTTTGAGTACTTTCCTTATGCATCTCATTTTGCATCTGTGTCATAAAACTCCACATATTATAAATATTGATCTTGAAGAAGCAATGCTTTTTAATTAAGCTTTCTGTTGAAGGATAATACACCTACAGAGAAGTGTACCCGGAAACAGACACTTTAGGCATTGTCACGGAGTCACAGCCACGCCACCAGCATGTGGATCCCGAAAATGACCATCCCTAGGAGGCCCCTGTGCCTCCGCCAGTCACTGTCCCTCCTCCCCACAGCCCCTCTGCCAAGCCCGCCACCCTCCCAACAGCCGGAGCATCGTTCAGTCTAAGCAGGGTTTTTCCCGCTTCTTCCAAGGCATTGGAGCCTCCTATCTCGGGCGTCAGGCAGAGGAGAAGGTGTGGTGGACCCACCACCCTCCTCGCTTGGGCTCGCTGCTCCGTCTGAAGCACTGAGGGCAGCGTGATTGAGTCGGGCGGGGAGCAGTTTGAGTCCCATGTGGCTCAGCCCTCGCTGGCGGGGAAGGTGGCGCCTGGGTCCCGGACGTCCCTGTCGCTGCTCTTGGCACCCAGGAAGGCCGTCTTGCAGCGGCTCCTTGCCTCTGCCTCTGTCTTAGCTTCTGGGGTTCCCCTCCGCTCATCCCCGGCTCTGGCTGCCTCGGCCCTGCTGGCTTCTCTGTGCGTTTATTCTGGAGTCAGCAGACTCGTGCAGACCTGGTCACCGAGCGATGCGAGGTGTGGGAAGGGCACCGTTTGCCCTCCTGACACCTGACACATCTGTGAAGATGGACTGTTGAGATTTCCGGAGTCAGCTATCCCAAGGCGTATTTAACTGAAAGCGAACTCTCTCTCCACCCAGGAGGGTGGTCAGTCAGGAATCTGGATGGCTCCCCAGCCGCTGGCTTTGTACTGTGAATGTCAGCCCTCAGCATTCTTCGCATTCTAAAGAATTTCTGAGGGTTTAAGTGACATTTTTGTGTTTCCCTGTTTCTAAGTGGAAATGATTCTTGGGCCTTTGCTATTGAGAGAAACGACAGAGTGAGAGAGTGCACGGGTGTGTGCCAGAGTTGACACCGTGAACTGGTTAGGCTGGGGGCCCTGTGCCTACGGACGTTTGTCGGTCAGCAGTTGTCTCGTGGTACAAGCCCTTGTGCACCAGGGCGCCTGGGTTTGTCTGAAGTTCAGGTTGAAGACTGTTAAGCTAGCAGACTTGGCACATCCAGGACTGCCAATTAGGAAGTCATCTGGGATAATTGTACCAGATTTTTACTTGTTGTATACTTTGGCTGTTTCTTAAACTGGGGTAACAGAGACATAATACAAGCTTTGTCATTTTTAACTACTTGTAAGGGCTTTTGGTTTACTGGTTATGTGGCTACTTGGGATGCCTGCACACCCTATCAGAGTGCCTGGGGTTCAGTCCCAGCTCTGCTCTCTGTTCCAGCTTCCTGCTGATGTGCACCCTGGGAGGTCCCAGGTAATGACCCAAGTGGCTGGGCCATCCACGTGGGAGACCTGGATGGGGTCCTGGCTCCTGGCTCCAGCCTGACCATCTCCAGCCGTTGAGGGCATTGGGGAATGAACCAGTGGGTGGGAAGTCTGTCTGCCTTTCAAATAAAATAAATAATTAAAATTTTAAGATCCTACTTTTACGCATTCAGTTGACCATTTGATTTCTAAAACATTTATTCACATCCATTTGCTATTCTAGTCAAGAGATGTTTAATGAGGATCAGCAGTGTGCCTTGTGCTGAGGGTGACAGATCACTGGAAAATTCTGAAAGAAGAATAAATATGGTTCCTGTGCTCGTGAGATAAAGCCTCATTAGGGAAACAAGATCTGTGTGCACCAGTTAAATAGTAGTGGTAGACGGGGCTCAAAAGCTGGCCCTTAATCGGGGTGAGATCTGTCTAGTTTGTGAGGAAAGAGGAAGTGGGGATGTTGCCAAACAACACCCCAAACTGGTTGGAGGCGTTGCTATAGAACCCCCAAACCAGGTGCACATGCCTGAGGTACAGAAAGCCAATCCCTGACATCGGGATGGAGGAAGAGAGGAGGTGTTTACTGCAAAGTGCAGAGCAAGGAGCTGGCCAGCTATCGCGTAATTCCCAGGCTCCCCGAGGTGCTGTGGAAGTGGAGGTTTTTGTAGAGTGAAATTAGGGCTACAGGTGCGTGATCAGCTTGTATTCCTGGTTGGTCAGTGGAACTCGTAACCTTCCTTTGATTGGTCAGTGTTGCTGTGCTCTTTATGACAGCCAGGGGGGCTCCAGTTGGTCTGGGGACTACATGAAGGTGGCAGTTACAGTCTGCCCGGACCTGGAATGCCCCTACACAAACCACCTCGGGACAACACTGGCCATCAAGGTTCTTAGCTATTGCAAAAGCAAATGACTCCTTGAGTCCAGCGATTAGAACCCTGAAGGCCAGCTAGATCACTGCCTAGCTCCCTTTGATAAAGGCAAGCAAGGACGTGCTGGGCTAAGGGGACACGGGCGGCTGGGGCCGGGAGCTAAAGCAGCACACAGCCATTTCAGTGTTCAGTCCATCATCTTTCAGTCTTCTGCATTTCTAGCTTTGAAGCACTGAGTATTTTGTTTTCTAAGTAAACTGAATACTCAGATAAGAGAACACGTTATTAGCACATCGTTAATATTTTTAAGTTAAAATTTAAAAATTTTAAAAGTCACAAAAACTGGCCGGCACCGCAGCTCACTGGGCTAATCCTCCGCCTGCGGCGCCGGCACACCAGGTTCTAGCCCCGGTTGGGGCGCCGGATTCTGTCCCGGTTGCCCCTCTTCCAGGCCAGCTCTCTGCTGTGGCCCGGGAGTACAGTGGAGGATGGCCCAAGTGCTTGGGCCCTGCACCCCATGGGAGACCAGGAGAAGCACCTGGCTCCTGGCTTCGGATCAGCGTGGTGCGTCGGCCACAACGGCCATTGGAGGGTTGAACCAAAGGAAGACCTTTCTCTCTCTCTCTCTCTCTCACTGTCCACTCTGCCTGTCAAAGAAAAAAAAAAGTCACAAAAACCAAACTTCAATTAGCCTGTGATGCAGACAGAAGTAACAATCCAGATTGATGTTGGTAGAAAGGTTAAACTTCCTGTGAGATTCTATGAAAAACAAGTTCTGTGCAAACATCTGTGTTCATGCAACATTCAACTTTTCATTATATTACCACTTGGGTGAGTTAAGAAAATGGAAGTTACAGTTTGTATGAAAAATAACTACAAAAATTGGTACGTAATGAAACACATTTTTATTGAAATTAATCCTGAATGCTACTTCTCTGTGGTGGATAAAGAATGAGTTCTGATTAGTTCTGCATAACATTGTGCCGATGCTTACGGGCCAAGATGGCGCCTGTTTGTTAGCGTCCCTCTGTGATGGGTCATGATGTGACCTGGGCCGAAGGCGAGGTCTTACGAGAAGTCACAGAGCTGAAACCACGTTTTCTCTTCTGTGTCTGCAGACAGGCCAGTGTGCACTGGGCACCGCCGTGCTCCCGCGACATCAAGAGGAAGCGGAAGCCCACGGCCGCGGCGCCTCCGTCCAGCCCCGCTGCAGGTGACTGTGGGCCCCTCCCCTTGCTGAGCACCGCCCGGTGACAGTGTGCCTTTCTCCTAGTCTGTGGGGTAAGGCAGGGTGTTTGGTTCCCAGTTCACGTGGGAAAACTGAGGCTCTGAGCAGTCAGTCGCCCAGTTCTCTGTGATGCTCACGTCTGTGCTTTTCCACCCGGAACTGGAAACTCTCCTCTGGCTCTCCGCAGCCGCGGCCTGTCGTCTGGGCTGACGTGCTGGCAGACATGAGAATCCGCCCACCTGGGCTGGCACAAGGAATCACCTGGGTTGATTTACTCCTTTCCTGGAGCACACAGTGCGTTTCCTCCATTTTTCTGTAGAGTGCTAATATTTGCTGGTTGTGACATTTCTAACCAGAAAGTTTTCAGGTTTAAACATCTTAGTTTTCTGCGCAAAAGCTATACTATTTGGTAGAAGCCAAAGTAGTCATTGGGGACAGGCATTTGGGCATGGCGGTTAGGCTGCCCCCAGGGACACCAGTGTCCTGTATCAGAGTGCCTGGGTTCAAGTCCTAGCTCCTCCCCTTCCAATCCATCTCCTTGCTAATGTATACCTTAGAGGCAGCAGGTCATGGCTCAAGGACTTGGGTCCCAGTCACTCATGTGAGAGACCTGGAGTTCTAGGCACCTGGCTTTGGCCTGATCCAGCCCTGGCTGTTGGGGGCATTTAGGGAGTGACTCAGCGGGTGGAAGATGGGTTTCTGTCTTTCTCTGGCTTTCTCTCTCTGTCTCTCTCTCTCTCTTCCTTTCAAATAAAATGAAGACAAATCAATACATTTATTAAAAAAAAAAAAAGTGGTAGTCACCTTTGGCAGAGGTGGTGACCCTGAGAAGGCACAAGGACACTGGGGGCGGTGGGAGAGCTGTGTGAGGTGGACGAGGCGGGGTGACCTGGCTGGTTACAGATGCGAAGATTCTGGAGCTGCACCCCTGAGCTTTCTGTACTCGACGGCATCTGTGTTGTCCTTGAATGACACAAAGGGATAGTTCCACATCCATGCCAGTGAGAATATTGGATGTTGCGGATTTGCTAGATTATTTTTTTCCCTCAGAAAATACTGTGAATTATGGAGATCGGAGCAGTTGAGGAGAAGAGTGAAGCACCCCTCCCTGCCTTTCTTCTTTCCCCGCACTCGGGAGCGGAGCCCTCTGAGCCTGTCTTCAGGGTGCGCCTGGTGGTTCATACTGCCCGGCCTCAGCACAGCTCCAAGGAGTTTGTCTCTTTTTCTTTTCTTTTCTTTTTTAAGTCCTTTTTGTGGGGCCAGGTCCCTAGCTATACACTCACACATATTATCTCATTTAATCTTTGAGACAGCTTTATAACACAGATGCCGCTTCTCTTCCCGATTTATACCTAAGAAAACTGAGTCTTATGTCACTCCCCCAAGGTCGCACGGGGGTAAATTGCAGCGTCAAGATCAGCCCAGTTTCCCCGTCACCGTCACCGCAGGCCCTGCCTCTGTTGTGCACAGTGGGACAGATTCCAAACCACGAGCCCGCGCGGACTCACAGCCTCTTCCTGTCTGTGGCAATCAAAGCCGGAAAGCAAACCCACCTCCCTTCTGTCCACGTGTCCCCTCCGTAATATCGGGCTTCTATTTTGAGCCGTCTAGCCTTTGTATGAGGAGAACCCCTGGGAAGGGTGTAAAACCCTGCCCCGTCCAGATTCGAGGCGGGAATGCCCGCGAAGGCACTGGACGAGACCTGGGCCTCGGGCCGCCCCCGCCGCGCCCGGCCTCCCTTCTCACTTGTTGACCGAGCCCTGCCTCACCGAGCAGCTTGCGTTTCCCTGCCCACACCCCGCGTGCCCCGTGGAGGTGAAGGACGTAGCCTGAGCCCGCACCATCAGTCAGTAGAACAAATGGGCTTGCTCTGCCTACCATCGGGCCATCTCGGATTCCACCTCTTTTATAGAAATGAGTGATGAAGAGAGGCACGTCCCGCTCTGCCGCCGTATTAATACGCATCAGGGGCCAGCGCCTGGCACTAAATCACGCTCCCGCGTACATCCGTTATCGACTCCTCACCGGCGTGATGAACACGACTGCAGATAGCGGCTTCCTTGTGTCATTCTTTATAGGATTTTCCTAAAAGAATAAATAGCTCAGATCTCTGCCAACACTCTCCCCTGTCACGGTGATGAATTCAGCTTCTTCCTTAAGCATGCGGCCACAAATCTTCTCCCTTCCCCTCCCCCACGGGCGGGAAGTTGTGAGTTGAAATTGACTGAATTTAAAGATATTAATAAGGCTCCAGAGAGGAAGAGCAGGGAGGAAGGGCACACCCCCTCTGCTTTCTGGACTATTGGTAACAAAAAGCCTGAGGAAAAGGGTGTCAGGTGGACCCTCCCGCTGGGGAGGGCGTCTCGTCTTTCTCCGCGTGCGCGTGGGCCTCGGCCTCGTGCTGCAGGGACTGACGGGTGTGTACTGCGCAGAGCCACTCCCTGCACCTGAGTGAGTCCGTGCACAAGCCTGCTCCTAGGGCTGATGCACCTGAGCAGGGATTTCCCACCTCATGCTGAAGTGAGCCACCTGTACCTGCTTCCGGGAATGTCCTTGGCAGGGGGCGGGAGAGGGAGGCCCCCCCCTTTTAAAATTTGAGAAAACATAGCTGTAACAAACATCGGGAACTCAGAGGAAAACCAGACCTCATTTCCTTGAAGTGACCTCCTTCAGCAGGGGGTGCACCACAGCTGTTAGCATGCCGGTTGCAGTCCTTGCACAAGTGAATTCGGGGCTTTTGGGAGAGAGGAGTGGGGGTAACCAGAGACTCTGTTCCGAGTCTGCGCCGGTTCGGCTGCTCCACGAGCCTCTCCTGACCTGCCCCTGTGGGATGGGGTGTGTGGCTTTAGAGCATCACCCGGAAGGGAGCCTCACAGGTGATCCGCTAATGCGTTGCGTCAGATTCCGAGTCCCACGCCAGCGATGCGAGAGATGCATGCCCAGGGCAGGGATTTCTACTGGATTTGCTGACTGCTCGACCCCCAGCATCTAAGAGAACGCCTAGCACATAGAAACAGCGCAGTAGATGCCTGTTGTGTGGACGAATTAAGAGCCTTGAAGTGAAACAGTTACTCTGCTGTGGTTGGATTCTATGGTTCTGTTCTAGGACTCTTATCTCATGAGGGTTCTTTTTTTTTTTTAATTTTATTTTTTAAACTGCAGAAGCAATTTTTTTTTAAGATTTATTTATTTGAAAGTCAGAGTTATACAGAGAGAGAAGAGGCAGAGAGAGAGAGAGTTCTTCCATCCGATGGTCCACTCCCCAAATGGTCGCAACAACCGGAGCTGGCTGATCCGAAGCCAGGAGCCAGGAGCTTCTTCCTGGTCTCCCATGCGGATGCAGGGGCCAAGCACTTGGTCCATTCTCCACTGCCTTCCCAGGCCACAGCAGAGAGCCAGATTGGAAGAGGAGCACCCGGGACTAGAACCGGCACCCATATGGGGTGCCGGTGCCGCAGGCGGAGGATTAACCTGCTGCGCCACAGGCCGGACCCCCCACCAGTCATCTTAAAAAGATTATCTTTTAAGTCTTTCTACTCTCCTCAGAGGAGACAGCCATGCCGATTCTTGTTTGTTACTTTTCATTCTTTTCTTTTTCAAGTAGTTTTAACAGACATACGAGGGTACTTCTAGAAGTCAGTGGGAAATAGAATTAGAAGATAAGCTTATTTTTGGTGCAAAATTATTTTTTTAAATCATGCATACCAGTGAGTCAGTGCACAAGCCTGCTTCTAGGGCTGATGCACCTGAACAGGTCTGCATATTAGGAAAGAATTGTGCACGGATTTCAAAAAGCTTTTTATACCAAAATAAACCATCTTTTAACTCTTTTCCCACAAATGTGTAGAAGCATCCTTGTACGTGCTATAGATGAGCTTTCAAGGTGTTTTACGTTAGCCTGCAGTAAGAAATAAGCATCTGAGGGGATGTGTGGGTACACATGCACACCTGCAGTAAGCCCTGGGTGTGCTCTGATAATTGTCGCTCTTATTTCACTGAGGGGGGGTGGGGGGGGCTGCTCCTGGCCCACTACACCGCCTGTGGCCAGCAGTTTGAAAATGACTGCTGTGGGTTACACCCCTGGAGGGAAGGTGCTGGGTGACAGGATAGGATGAACCTCGGCTGTGCAAGATCTTGCCGGATGTTAGTGCGTCTGTGTTGTGTTTGTCCCCAGCAGGGAGCTCGGTGCTGACAGGCTTGTGCCAAAGGTCTGCAGGGTAGCCCTGTGCGAGCAAGAACTGCCGTGCAGCAGAGGTGTGGGCGTGACCTTGGTGGGGAACCCTGGCTGATTGTGTCACTGCCCTGTCAGTTTCCCTGTACCGCATTTCCTGGTGGCACTGACACACTAGAGGCATGGGGTGCGTCAGGAAGAATACGGGGCTTGGGGCCCAGGGTCTGAGTTTGGATCTTAGCACATAACGAGTCCTGTTGTGTCCCTGGACGATTTGTCCCACCCGTTCATCTCATCATTTCTTAATCCGAGAAATGGAGCTGACAATATCGCTGCACAGGTCCATGTAAGAAAGAAGACTGCGTTGTAGCACTGAAGCAGTGGGTGCTTAGGACGTGGTGTTCCCAACAGGACGCATCCCTTGTACCAAGTTCACCCAGCTGTCCCATTAAACCCATTTTCTCAGATGGAGAAGTCGCTATCTCACTTGAATCTCACCTTTATTTATTTATTTATTTAGTAAAGTAACAAGAGAACCCTGTGGCCACTTGGATTCATAGAACGCAGAATCCAAGGACTAAGGAAATGTTGCTTCTCCGTCTCATTCTCATTTCTCATCCTGACTTGTCTTGATTTTTTCCCTCCCTGTTGACCAGGTCACGTGGACGCCATGGAGCCAGCCACACCAGCACCACAAACCCAGAAGTCGCCCCCCTCAGAGTGGCTGGGCAGGAGCCTTGCCACAGAGAAGGCCACCGACTGCCCTCCGGCCACCTTTTTTAAAGCCCCGCAGGAGAAGAGCCCTGGACACAGCTAGAGAGCCCTGGGCTGGCCGCCCGGTGATGGCCGGCACTGGCCGGTGCCTCTGCATGCCGCGTTCCTCCTGCCCGGCGTCCCCAGTGCGCTCACCGCCCCGGCCGACCGCCAGCAGAGCGCTCTTCTAGAAACCATGTTGTGGATCTCGTTTTTTAATTAGCAGAGTACTGAGGCGGCAGTTCTTTAAAAAGAGAGAGAGAGAGAGAGAGCAGGTCATCTATGCTATACTTACCACGTTATTATTGCTAGTCCAATGTTTACCTGCAGCTCTGTTTACAGAACTGTTGCTTTTTTGTAGGTGTGTCTTTGTTCTTGGAAAACTAGTAACTGCTTTTGCATACGTTTTGTGTAGCGTTTTTAATATCCTTGAGGGAGTCCCAAGCCTGTAGCCATTTCTAAGCAGGAGCAGATTTGCATAGCGAGCTAAGGCCTGTGTGGAATTGCGTTTGCGGGAGATCCGGCTTTCCCTTGAGCCTGGTTTCTGTCCACTGAGTGCCAATCAGATAAACGCAGCAGGTTCTCGGTTTGGGACCTCAGAAGAGACACCAGCAGCACGGGGCTTTGGAACTTCCTCCACCGGCCCACGGATGGCCCGGGGGTCACCAGCGGCGTGTGGCACTGCTCATCTACAGCGCTCCTGTTCTACCGAGGGAGGGCCTTTCTGCCCAGATCCACAGAGGGGCGCAGCGAAGACGATGGGGCGGGTGTATGGTGTACGGCGAACTTGTAGCCAGCGGGTTATGTCTTACTTCACGCCCCTGTGCCAGCCTTTCTGTCCTGTTAGTATCATGGGTCAGCAGCCTGCAGCTGGAATTCATACTCAATTCTGGTCAGGGCTCCTCGGGCCGTGCTTTGGGAAGGAGAAATGTCTTGGTGACACGCCTGCACACTGGCCGTGTTTATGACTGCTCAGCTGCACGTAGAGCTACATGTACAGTCGGGCCTGAAGTTGGCTGCTCCGTTGTCAAGATGAGGAATAACTGACTGCCTGGAGCCGCAGGGGAAAAGCCACGCTTTCTAGAAAGTATTATCGAGAGCGTCGCTCGCGCAGGGGCCTGGCGGACAGAGGCTCTTTGTTTGCACGAACTGAGCGCTTTGACTCTGAAGTGCATGGAAGCCGTTTGCTCTCTGCGGGGGTCATGTCGCAGAGGGACCCCTCTCCTGGACCTGGTTGCCTGGTGGACAGTGCCTCCTGTCCCCAAGTGCGATTGTCACTCTCCCTGCACACTGTCTTGGTGGGCTGGCTCTTCTCTCGTGTTCCCTCTAGGAATTTTGGTTGGCGGTGAAGTAGGGAGGTGGGCGGGCCTGAGTCCAGTTGGGAAGCGGCCTCAAAGCCAAGTTCGCATAGCACTTTATGTAAGACTGAGGGTGTGGCGCTTGTCCACAGCGAGGAACACCATGGAGGAAGGGGCAGATGGAGACTGTGGGGTGAGGGGATGACTGCCACGGCTGGCCCAGCATCCCTGGGAGCCAGCCCTGGTGCTCAGGTGGTGGTGGGCGCACTTGCCCTGTGGCCCGCGCCCACGTCTGTTGAGTAGACACGAGCACTCCTGAGTTGTTTTCATCTGACCTGGGCAACGACTCCTGACACACTCGATTGGGTTGGTGGGTGAAATCTATGGATATTTCTATTTTTTGCCTTTGTGCCAAGCTCTGTGGCTCACACAGATTTCTCCTGTTAAGACTCCGCAGTTCCGGCGGCAAAGGTGTTCCAACATCTGTCCTCATGATTCTGTCCTTCCTACCTGGGATTAAAAATAATCTGTGTGTGCAGCCTTACTTATACTTTAACCAGCTCTAAGAAGTCATGCGATGTAGAGAGATGGAACCCATTACAGGACCGAGCGACTTGTGTAAAATCATACAGCGAAGCCAGGGCTGAAGCTTTTAGGCTTTCTCTGCCCTGGGTTTCATCTCGTTTCTCACTGATAGACCTGAGTCCATCCGAGAGCTCTATCTGTGAAGTTTACTGGGGATGTTTACCATCAAGTTCTTGGGGGTGCTACATTTTGAATACTTTGAACAGGGGTCGCACAAGATGCCAATACCTCCCCGTAACAAGTGGCAAGGAGACAGGTGCCTGAGCAAGCAGCCTTTAAGCTCACAGCGTTGTAAAGTGTGCTCCCCGCTTTAAGGTTCCGTATGTGCAAGCTTAAGGAATTATTAACCAATTTATTCCACGTGTTTTCTGTGCTAACCAATTGGGAGAGGATAACAGTGAAATGTATGTATTTTGAATTTTAAAGTTTAAATTTTTTTTATATGGCACAGTATATAATCTCATGTATTAAGAAAAATCTGTTTACCTTTCAAGAAAAGAGCTTGTTTGAAAATCAGGCCTCGCGATCCGTGCCGGAGAAGCCGATAGCATGACGCATTTGGAGGCGGGTCCTCGGGCGCACGTGTGGCAGCTGCAGCAGCAGCAGCAGCAGTGGCAGAATCCCGCACTCCTGCGCAGTTGGGGGGCCTGTTTCACGCCAGCTGGCCTGCACACTGCCTGTCTGAATCCAGTTCACCTTGGGTGTTTTCCACAAGGGGGCAAATGTCAGGACCTTCTCTGCTTGCACGAGGACCATTCATGAAAAGTTAGTTGGACTTTAGAGTTTAAGGGCATTTGAGATTCTGCGTTTCAGACGCGTTACTTTAAAGGAACAATCTCATTGTCATCAAAACTCTTGTGTTGCTTTTTGGTAAGTGCTGAGAAGGAAGTCGGTAGCTGTATACCTGGTACGGATTTGGAGCGGCAGAGTGTAATTGTTACTGAGGGGGGTGGGTGGGACATAGGCCACAGATTTAGCCCTGAATTCTTGAGAAACCAGTTGCAGCTGGAAATCCCGGATGACACTGCTTTGCTGCACGATGCAGTAGGCAACAGTCAAGGCCGTATGCTCAGCAAAACAACCGGAAGCTGAGCACTGCGCCGTCTCTGAAGCTTCTGACAGTGTTTGCTAAGTGAGGCTCCAAGCCCAGCACAAGTAATGAGAGCGGTTAGGGATCCCAGGCTGACCGGGTAGAGCCTTGCAGGTGGGACTTACGGCCGCTCCACGTCCATCCATACCACAGAATAGAGGGACAAGGTTGTCACCGAAGTCACAGAGCGCCGAGACGGAGATGGGGCTGGCGTGGCCATTGCCGATGTCTTGGGCTCTCCCCAGTGGAAGTCTGGTGATGGCACAGTTCCTGGTTTTTGCTTTATTTTGGGCTCGCTGCTGTGGTTCTGAGCCACATGCTTTTCTCCCCTCAGGGAAACGGCTGTGTAAAAATCTTGACGTTGGAAACTATTCAGTGTCCTCCGTGTCTTGGGAACCCTACCTGAGCTGGGGTGAGAGCGGAGGACTTGCTCTGGCAGCTTGGGGGGTGGGAGGGGAGGTGGGAGAAGCAGTTTGTCTTGTCAACCCCTCCTGTGCAACACTTGAGCGCTGGTTTTAGTGGTCAGCGTTTCTTGTATCCCACTGTTGTCGCGGCATTCAGGACGGGTCCCTGCCCCATCAGAAAACTGGTGCAGAGCGGTGGGTGAGGGAAACGGGGAGTTGCACCAGCAAGCACTGTGCACACGGGGCATGGAGATGCTGTCTCGTACGCTGAGATCACAAAAAGATGAACTCGGCACCGGCCTGGAAGTGGCAACGTGGGCGGGAAATGGAGAAGAGCGTGGATTGTAAGCTTGCTAAGCCCAGCAAGATCAGCTTAGAAGAAGGAATTTCCCCGCTGCTGCAAATAGACGTAGTAAGCACCCGGCACCATCGCTGGACGTGGGGAACGCAAAGGTTCAATGCATCAGTGAAGAAGCGCCCCACCATGGAAGCAGTCTCAGCAAGGTGGGCGAGGGCGAGGGCTGGCGCTTAGGGCAGGCCCTGGACCGCCAGCAGCAGCCGGAGCACGCCTCCCCTCCACCAGACCTGGGCCACAGACTGCAGGCCAGGCCTTGCAGTCTCACGTGCTGCCCCAGGGTGCTCCGGCGGGTGCTGGGGTCAGAGGCACGAGGCTGTGCGGTAGAGCTCTGTGGCACTTCCAGGTCTCTCTGTCAGTAAAGGGCTTTTGACTAGGCTGTTTCGCAGAAACTGGTAATCCTTTATTACATACAGATTTATGTATAAATATACATATATATGCATTTCCCTACAAGCTCCTGAGAATCTTAAATACCAAGATGATGAGGGAGAAAATGCCATCAAAGCCATGTTGAGACTGATGGAAATAACTTTTTAAAAATAGCAAACAACTTTTGTTCTCTGAAGAATGGTCTCTTTCTGTGTCTGGCGATTGGCATGTGTGTGGCCCTGTGTTCCCAGGATCTGCTCAGTGGCCCTTGGCTTCAAGGGCAGTGTCATTGTTTTCCAGTGTGGTGGTGATGAATGGTTCCTTAAAAAATGGGGAAAAATTGTGGTAGAGGAGCCCAGCCTGAGTACATAGCAGGTTTGTGACAGATACCTGTGGAGTTGCTGGAGTCGTGTGCTAGTACTTTGGCCCAGTACTGAGAGTGTGGAAAAATCGATTTTCCGGGATGCCACTTAGTCACACCTTGCCTGTCTTACATCTCAGCGAGTCCTCTGCAGGGGTTGGGGACCCAGGGCCCGCTCACGCCGATTTCTGTTGTCTGCAGGCAGCGTGGCAGAGCTAATCTTCTAAAATTCTCATCTTCAAGCTTTGAGAAGCAGTCGCACCATCTTCTTACATTTTCTCTGTGTTAATCCAGCTGGATCGGGACTTACCCGTGCTTGCAAACACATGCTCTGCCTTTGAGAGAGCGCGTGTGGCTCGGGGTGAGGCGTTCCCGGAGCCCCGCAGTGCCGTCCGTGAGCTGCTGCTGGGAGGCTGCTTAGCCCTCATTGCCAGAATTAGACAGGGAGAGAGGGAGAGATAGAGAGAAAGGTCTTCCTCCCGTTGGTTCACCCCCTAAATGGCCACCACAGCCGGTGCTGCGCCGATCAGAAGCCAGGAGCCAGGTGCTTCCTCCTGGTCTCCCATGCGGGTGCAGGGCCCAAGCACTTGGGCCATCCTCTACTGCACTCCTGGGCCACAGCAGAGAGCTGGCCTGGAAAAGGAGCAACCGAGACAGCCACGACTGGGACTAGAACCCGGTGTGCCGGCGCTGCAAGGCAGAGGATTAGCCTAGTGAGCCGTGGCGCTAACCCTATTTCTGCAGTCTTAAAACACCATACAAGTTTTCTCTTCTACCTTGAGGACTGGTTAAAACTCGAATTATCAAGGCGTATGCCTACGAACAGATTTTTTTTTTTTTTTTTTTTTGACAGGCAGAGTGGACAAAGAGAGACAGAGAGAAAGGTCTTCCTTTTCTGTTGGTTCACCCCCCAATGGCTGCTGCGGCTGGCACACCACGCTGATCTGAAGCCAGTAGCCAGGTGCTTCTGGTCTCCCATGCGGGTGCAGGGCCCAAGCACTTGGGCCATTCTCCACTGCACTCCTGGGCCATAGCAGAGAGCTGGGCTGGAAGAGGAGCAACCAGGACTAGAACCCGGTGTGCTGGCGCCGCAGGTGGAGGATCAGCTTATTGAGCCGTGGCACCAGGCGAACAGAAATCTTTAAAAGTTCATCCAACCCTTGCAGACCCCTTACTCAAATGTTTAAAAAAAAAAAAGATTTATTTATTTGAAAGTCAGTTACACAGAGAAGGCAAGGCAGAAAGAGAGAGAGAGAGGTCTTCCATCTACTGGTTCACTCCCCAGATGGCTGCAGCTGCTGGAGCTGCGCTGATCCGAAGCCAGGAGCCAGGAGCCAGGAGCCTCTTCCGGGTCTCCCATACGGTTGCAGGGACCCAAGCACTTGGGCCAACTTCTACCACTTTCCCAGGCCACAGCAGAGAGCTGGATCAGAAGAGGAGCAGCCGGGACTAGAACTGGCGCCCATATGGGATGCCGGTGCTTCAGGCCAAGGCTTCAACCCGCTGCACCACAGCGCTGGCCCCTCAAATGGTTTTAACTGAAAAGGAAAATGTCCCAGAACTTAATGGCCAATGACTTAAAATCGGCTTTTGGTTTTTTTCCATCAGCAATAGACTCTGCATCTTGTTCCTCCAGCAAGCGAAGCAAATGAAAATCACCAGTGCCACCCCCAAGGCGTGGGGACAGCTGACGTTGCTCAGTGTCTCTCACACACATTGCGTGTGTGCACATGCACACATGCACACACACACACAGCCTATTACAAACTGACCGTTCTAAACCCTCTCCTCAACCTTAGCTGCAGCGGCCAGGCTCGGCCCCGCTCTACCAGGGACCGGAGAAACTCCCACTTAGCCCAGGCGCCCTTCCTTACCCCTGCCTTCCTGCAAGTGGCTGCCCCGTCCAAGACTGACCCCTTTCCCCACGAGGCCTGCTCCCTGGTCACATGTGCTGCTGAGTCTAGCTACAGCCTCGGCTCCTGGCACATTCAGCTTGTGTTTAAACGTGTTCAGAGACTCCTTCCTGAGCTCTGAGCCCCTACCCAAGTGCACTCCCTGGACATACTGTCCATGAGGGCCATGGCCGCTGAAGTGGTGGTCTCTAACCCTGGCTGCTTTAAAGCCCTCAGTGTTCCCCGCCTGGACCCACTACCTGCGGGTGGGCGTGGGGACTGTGTTTTTGAAGAAACGTGCAGCTGAGCCCGAGAGACAACGGTGGCAGCCCGGCTGCCAGCCTCACCGCTCTGCAAATCGTCCTTGCCAGGTTCCCCGCTGACTTCCGCCTGCTGAATCTGACTCCTCCGGTGCATCTCGGTCTGGCTCCGTATCACCACTTCCCTTTCTGGAATTCTCCCGTTCCTAACCCTACCCGCCTCGT